AAAAAAAAAAAAAAAAAACCGAAGCCGCAACCGTAGAATTACTTTTTGCATCCGGGCTTGAGATCAGGAATCCCAGGTGTTCTGCGCGCCGAAATCGTGGGAGTTGCAAGGAAAGCTTTATTTACTGTGAACACCCACGCAACTCCGACTTCCCTGAAGTCTATTGGGCAATCTTTCGAAATTTCAGGATCTGGGAGTCTGTGGGGATCATGATTATGGTTAGCGGTCCTACCATGCAGCGCATGCAACGAGCATGTGAAGCAAAGAGTAGCAGTTGAGATCGTGTTAGACACGCCGTGTCACACTCCGAGGTTCAAGCCAGATGTTAATATAGGGGCCTGAATAATTACCAATACTTTGGGGTTCCTTTTTTCAAGCATAGCATAAAGGGCCCCAAGACCCTTGTCTAGTTATTGAGGCCCCTACATTGACATTGCCTGGTATGCAGTTGTCGTTGAGATGAGTGCGAGTGCTTTTAGGTTCATGGCGCATGTTTGGCATGGCATATTGTCGGTTGAATTGCGAAACTCCAGTATGCAAGAGCCGGTGGTGAGCAATTTCTGTGACACCCCTGGTCCTGTGTCAGGTTCAAGTGGATGGCAGTTGAACCCGTCAGCGCCATGATGCAGGCGATGATCACAATCCCGACGACACAAAAGGAGCACTGAGAGGTCGTGCAAACTCGCGACCACCACCTCAGCAAGCTTTTAGCGTGCATGTCCTCGTGACCGAAAGGACGCGCGCTATAGGTGCATACGCATGTATGTAGATATGTCTGCGAGTATATCTATGCATATTTACAAATACTTATATAATACATGTGCAATCTACCTTGCGTGTTTGTACATATGCTCCACTTTAAGGGCCTTCGGTCACAGTCATAGTCTCATGATACAAACACGAGCGATAAGTAGCACTGCGAGGCTATCTAGCCATCACTCCCACTGATGCAGAACCGTGGTCGTGCGTCTTGCATGGCTTCTTTTGCAGAACCTCACGGACACTGCAAACCCTGTGCTGCTAGCCAGTCAAGTTGCTGCCAGAAGCTGGACACGTTCCTCGGTCGTATCGCTATTCGTCGACTACAATCAAGGCGTGGATTTGCTTGAAGACTGCATTTGCCATTCGGAATCCTTGCGGTAACACTTGGCTATGTTTGTAAACGAATTGTGCAAACTCAAGCATTTCGCGTGTGGGGCTTTCGGTTGAGACGTATAGACAGCAACCAAGGATCTGCTGTGCCAAAGCCCGCCGGCGGAGCTTGCCCTCTGTGCGAGAAGACAGGCTCTGTCCAACCTCGCCAGCAGATGCTCTGAGGAAAGCACCCTCGACAAAAACAGTGAAAAACCTACACTCAAGCCTAAATGCTGACTCCGGCTTTGACCCACAACACAGCCGCACTAAATCCTCTAACACAGGGGCCTTGATTATCAGCCACAGTATCCCCATCGAGTTCCTCCATTGGTCTGTCCAAAAATTCCGTTCTAATTATTTTAAGTGCGAATTTACTACAACCCTCGACACTACTTTGCCCTATTCAGAGCCCCCTTCAATGGCCCTCCCCCTCCCCAGCCTCTTGGTCTTCATCCGAGCTGGAGATGTACACATTCTCGTCCTACAGGAGGCTGCAAGGCCTATGACTGGGACTGTCACGGAATGAATGGGACGAGTCACCAATGCCACCCCAAACTTTAGGCCCAGATTTACCGAATGGAATGCTTTGGGGAGCACCGCCTTCGTTGCCAACCTGAACCGGTTAACGGTTAGCCTGACTCTAAGCCATTCTGGTGCCAGCTGGTTGCAGAATGTCTACACTTCAGCGGAACTGCTTGCTAAAAGGAACGGCGATGCTTCCTTTACTCAAAACGTCCATGACGTAGATAAAGCTGCTGACTGCTGACATTGTCTATCGATATTGGTGTTGTTCTTCCTACTGCTACTCCCACTCCTACCCCTGCGGTGCTGCTACTACTACTACTACGACGACGACGACTACTACTTACTAGTACTTGTACTAGTGCTACCATTACCACTGCTGTTTCAACAACTGATACCCGTATCCCTGGTTTTGCTTTTGTCGCGGTTCCTCTTGGCACGGTTGTGAATATCATGCCTGCTATGCGTATGATCGAAAGCATATCAAAACTGTGATTAAGCCATGGCAAATATCATTTTGGCTTTTTGTTGCTGCCATCCTGGATTTCATGAGCAATGATCCTACAACCGCCCAAAGGCCGAGCATCGTCGTTGGATTCGAAGTCATAGGTCCGACTGCTCTCTTGACGAAGGACGCCCAACCTGAAGAGATGGGCTCGGAGCCTAACCAGATCGTGGGCTTCACGGTTCCGGGTTGAACCTATTGTTTGCATTGGATCCCTCAGTGATAAAATAAGGCAGCCAAATTTAGGGACTGTGGTTTAGAATCTGGGTAAAACCGTGAAAAGTTGGAACATGGACTTATGGTGTTTAGTGTTCGGATTACTCGACTTGAGGGACGTTAGAACCATGATGTTCCAACTCTCGCTCTCTCCCTCCCTCCCTCCCTCCTCAACGTTGTGAACTTGGCATGCCTGAGCCACACCTTGCAGCTCCCAAATCATCATGATTCTATTTAATCGTACGCATGTCTTTCGAAGCACGCGGAAATACCTAATTGTTATTAACACGCATGTGGCACCGACCCAGCCCTGCACAGCAGTGCTTCGAAAGTAACGTGCCAGTGCTGCGATGTAGTTGAACTGTGCCACAGCAGCGGCATGGTGAAGTTGGCACCGCCGCGAATAAGACATGTCGTACCGCAATCTTTCATCCACACGCCCCACCAGCCCGTCTGCAAACACACTCCCTCCCGGCCTGCTAGCAGCAGCCATCACGATCGTCCCACTGGCATTCTCGTTGTGCTTCACCTCTTCCGTGTTCTCCTGCATTCTCCGGGCATGTGTTCATGGACACCAGGCTGGACCTGGGTCGGTCTCCCTGAATTAGTGTAGGGGCCTTAATAATTAGAATATGGTTTTAAAGTTTTGGGAGCTCCTCTCCTTATTATGTTTATAGTATAAGATACCCCGAAACCCTACTCTTATTGTTGAGGCCTCCATATTCAGCAACCGAAGCAGAGATTTAAAGCCCCGGATGGCTTCCTGGTGCGATCTTGTGCAAGGTTGAGCTATGAAGGGGCTTTCTCCTGGTGTCGGGTTCAGCACCAGAGAAACAAAAACCCTTTGCCGATGGCTATTGGTCATGCTTCTGATCCCAAACCCCTACAAACCCCTATAAACCCTAAACCCCCAAAACCCCTATAAACCCTAAACCCTCAACCCCAAAACGCCTAAACCCAAGGCCCTAAACACCCAAAACCCCTAAACCCAAGGCCCTAAACGCCCAAAACCTCTAAACCCAAGGCCCTAAACCCCCAAAACCCCTAAACCCAAGGCCCTAAAGCCCCAAAACCCCTAAACCCAAGGCCCTAAACGCCCAGCCCAAAACCCCGAAACCCAAGACCCTAAACCCCCCAAAACCCCTAAACCTTCACTGGAGATCCCAGGCCCCCAAAGCACGGAAGCCCGCTGGGCCATCTCTTGAAGCACTGGCATACTTTGCAAAACGGGAGCCTGCACACAAGGTAGGGTTTGGGGTTTAGGGCCCTGTCACCCTCTTGCGTGAGGGAATGCTGAGCTGACGACTAAACACCGAGCGCTTGGATCTCGCTGGCTGAAAAGACAGGTGGAAAAATGCAAAGCCGAGGTCTATGGTTTAGGGTTTAGGGGTTTAGGGTTTAGGGGTTTAGAGGTTTAGGGTTCAGGATCGCCACAGGGTGCAGGCAAGCACTTTCAAACAATCGCAGCCCTGAACCTGTCGACTCTGCAACCCGAGCCCTTGGAGATCTCTCAATGCATTCAAGCCCCAATCCGGATATCTATCAACCCCTGTAGAAGCCTATAGTAAACCCCAAAAAGTTGGAAACCGGATTAAGGACAAATAGTGCTGGGATTCCTTATACATTACTCTTAAGGATTGAGGCTATTGTGTTTCCAACTTTTGGGCTTCTACTGTACTTTTGAGATGCATACTAAGATACACGCTGTACAAGTTTACATCTGTGTATATGAAACAACAGCACACAGCCTTGGTTGGCTTAACCCTAAACTCTACAGGGAGTCTGTTCGGGCTGCAGCTCTCCTTCCGCATGCAATCTCCACGCAGCGCCCCGAAGCTGAGGAACTCGGGGAAAGCCAACAGAACCTTTGCTTCGGGAAGTCCTCAAGAGGTGGGTTAGAGGAAGTAGCATTGAGGGTCTCGGGGACTTCAGTTTTAAGGGCTTTAAAGGCCTTTTACGTTTATATCTTCAGTGTTAAGGGGTCTTGGAGTTCCACACCGAAGGCTAACAAATTACGGCCTTTACAAGAGGGCCTGATATATGGTTGGTGAAGAATTGTGATTTGTTTCCGTGGCAAAACCGGTTATCAGTCTCAAAGTATACTAAGCCGCATACTTACTTGATGTTGAGTTTAGGGTCTCGAAGCTCAAAGTTTAGAACACATGTAATATGTGTGTTTAGGTCTTTAAGGGGCAACGAAGAACACAAAGCCCAACAAGGATACCAAGCAACGACCGGAGTGACGAACATGTTGACGGACATTGCGCACCTCAGCTTTTTGTCGGGCGGTTTGGCCCAAAGCACACAACTCCGAAAAGCAAACATCCGAGTGTGAGGAGTGTCTGAGCCGTGGGTGGCTGGCCGGCTGGCTGACTAATCAACTGAATGAATAAAGACGCTGAACGACGCTATATGAATCAATCAGTCAAAGAAGCCTCGTACACATATGTGACGTATGTGCATGTATGACTGTATGATGTACGTAAGCTTACGAGTACTTACAAAGACTGACGCATGACTATACCTACCCGTCCCTAGACCCCAACCACATCATAAGCCCGAGACAGGATCGCCATGAGGATGCCTGCAGAAGAAGTGCAGCATCAAGCGTGGGCAAATGCCCAAAGATGCAGAACTCAAGAGGTTTCAGGAAAGAGTTTAGGCTTTCCCCCGTCTAGCTGGAACTATTCGGGTTTCGACATGCGCAGTCGCACAAGCTGGCAGGGATCCAAGCGACAAGCTCAGGTTTTCTTCTAGCCTCCCGCCTAGGTCTCGGGGCTTAGGATTGCGGATTTGTGGTAGTCGCTGCAGCTGCATTTGTACTGAGGCTGCCTTGGGCTACTGTGGTGCTTTAGAGGTTTGTTGAAGTTTGAATGTTTCCTTTGAAGCACCGACTCGTTTTGGTGGGCGCTGAAGCTGAACAGAGTTCGATACTGGGGCAAGACACCCCCCACCCCACTGCATATGCAAGAAGGCACAAGCAGGTTACCATACCGCTTGTCTGCGCTGACTTGTGCACCAACATGCCACACCATTTTGGCTTGGATGGTATACTGCTCTCAAGTGGTAGAGTTGAGGCACTCGATGGCTCTGCCCGAAGAAGATCTTTCGCGCCGGGCGGGCATGGTGATGATAATGGTGATGCTGGCAATGGTCGGCATTTGCTGTGTAGGAATTCAGAACTTGGACATACTAAACACACGGCTCGTCCCTAAACCCTCAACCGACTGAAGCCGAACCCCTATAACAACCTCATGCCGAAAAATCAACAACATGAACTCTAACCCTTGCGGCCTTATACTCTATCCGCATTGGATACATAAGAAACAAAAGCTGCTCTACTTTTATGTTGGTTTCTATTTTTTTGCAACTTAAGAAACCATTCCTAAGGAGGGCCAAGTATTCAACTCCTTCCACTCTCTCCCTGCCTATGCTCAGACTGTGGGACTCCTCCAGGGGGAGCTGCTGCACCGCCAGGGAGCAATAGCACAAAGTGAGTCCGGATCCTAGGATCACCTGGGTGTTCATTTTGGAACTGTTCGAGGCTGCTTTGCTAGCGCCTGTAGAGCTGCGGGAGGCTTGATTCGTTTGGGAGTTAGCGATTGGGGTTCGGGTGGCTCTTCAAAGTAGGAGCTAGGATTAGGGGGACCCTTGGGGATATAGACCCTCTCAAGAAGGTCCCTTTTCAGAGAGCCATATGTAGTAGGATCAAGGAGGCTCCGCAGTACTACCTAGGGGTGACCGGGGCTGAATCCCGGAGGCTAGGACAAGGGATTGAACGGTTGCACATGCCGGAACCAGAGTCTACAGCAGCGTCTGGGTATTGATGCTGTTGCTTCGCATGAAGGTTAGGGAGACTGGGCCTTTGAGCTTGCTGTTTCAAGGCGCTCTCCTCATTCTGAGCTTCGGGCTGTACCGCGCCCTACACTCAAGACACGTATGAAACAGCAATCTCCGTAGCAGCGTGGATAAGAGCATGCCAACATTTATGGAAACCTTGTTCTTCTGTAAGACGTGGTGATCTTCCATCGAAGCCGAGGGATGTGGAACTTGCGGGTCATCATTGATAGTGTAGGGATAAGCCAGATCGAGGTCAGACTATTTTTCATGTCCCCGTATAGCTCCTCCATACTTGTACTACACTAACCTGCCAAGCTCTGTTCGAGCAGCAACGCCCCGATGTTACCTAATAAATATGTGTGTTTTGGAGTTGCTTTTTAGGCTGCCTGGGGTTTAGGATGAAGCATAATGGGAGCAAATGCTGCTTCGTGGCAGCTGTACTGCAGCTTCGAAACCCGAACCTACACCCTTAACCGTTGAATCCTGAACAGCCCTGAACCTAAACCCCGAACAAGGTCAGGATCTATGGATAAGCCCGAACGAAACGAAGTGGCATGGCCGCTGCGCCGGATGGACGCCTTTGTTGAGCTCTGCGGTCACGAACTTCTTACATGCCCCAAATCCCGAACGAAAACGGATACGATGCTTCATGATTGAGAATTATTGCGATTACTCTGTGAGGCTCTGCTCTGCTTTGGGGCGGACTGCGAGCTTTTTATATGTGCCTCGAAAGTGCCTTTCTGGGCTCGTGAGATGCTCTAGAGCATGCTTCGGAAGACTAAGTTAGACTACGTGTAAAAAAGAGACGACCTTTAGGGTTTGGGGATTTAGGGTTTAGTAGTCTCGCGAAGGGACGACACGCATGCGAAAGAGCAGCTATTCCCCCCCACTCCATGAGTCAGCGAAGGCAACACGCCAAAACCAGACCAGATGCGCATGCCAAATGCTGCAACCAACTGTTCACAGCAACGCAACAGGATGTGCTGGATGCCAGACAGTACCACCCTCAGGCTTTCCCATCAGCCACAAACCGAATGTCAAACCTTCGAACCCGAAAAACCCTCAAAAACACAGGAAAGCTCTTAAACCCTAGGTCCTAAATCCCCCAACACTTCAAGCCATGCCTCTGACACTGCCTGCATCAATCCGGCACCTAGCGCTAGCTCCTCCTGAAAGCCTTGGCTTGAAGGGCTTAAGGTTAAGGACCAAGGAGGCGTGGGGTAGTAGTAGTAGTAGTAGTAGTAGAAGTAGTAGAAGTAGTAGAAGTAGTAGTAGTAGTAGTAGCAGCAGCAGCAGCAGCAGCAGCAGAGTAGTAGTAGTAGTAGTAGTAGTAGTAGTGGTAGTGGTGTATTTACCGCCACGTCTTCGTGGGCCTTGGCCAGGGCCTTCATTGGTATTTACAGTTTTTCGGGCTTGGAGGCAGCAGCAAAAACCCAGCGTAGATTCTGGGCGGTTTGTGTGGTTTTCCTTATGCATGCAATGAAATCATCATGGCGACGATCCTGAGGGTCAAGCAACCATGGGTCTGATGATAATGATTCTGCAGTTGTCTATTTGGTGGCTCGTGGAAGGCCCTTTATCGGTATTTACGGCATTTTCGGGCTTCCAGGTAGAGCAATCACGAGGGGAGCAATTTGAGGGTTTTGGTATTGCACATGCATGCAATGTGGTCATCATGGTGACGACTGCTGCTGCTGCTGGCGGTGGTGGTGGTGGCGGTGGTGGTCATGGTGGAAGTAGTAGTCGTACTAGTAGTAGTACTAATGCTGCTACGAGCAGTCGTAGTACAGTAGCAGTAGCAGTAGCAGTAGCAGCAGCAGTAGCAGTAGCAGGGGCAGCAGTGGTAGTAGTAGTAGGAGGAACAGCAGCAGCAGCAGAAGGGATTGCACCCTATTGTGCGACGCTTAAAGGGATCTTTTCAAATTTGCGGTGGGAAGTCTTATGGACAAAGAAGCAACTCCCTTCAGAGCCTCTGAGTGGTACGAGAGACCAGCACTGCCAAAGCTCCTATCTCCGAACAAGACATCGGATAAGAGACGCAGCGTAGGATTTATAGCTATGAAGGAAGACCCAGCCAGGAAGTGCGTCGCCATCTCTGACCGAGGAGCTTCACTCTGCTAGTGATCTCCAAAGAGGAATGGCATAGCGAATTCATGCTACAGAAGCCATAATAGCAAGCACATGCCGCAAAACGAAGTCTTGCCAGTGCAACTTGATGATCCGTGCAACATGGTGGCAGTTCAGACATGCTTCACAACAGCACATTAAGTCAAGGGCTACAAGCAAGCATAGGACCTCTACCTTACAGAGCTTGGCTTACCCTGATGGCCGGACAAAGGAAGTTTTGGAATTAAGGTCCCTGAACCAAACCCTTAAGCCCTTAACCGCATGTTTAGGGCTTAGAGTCTGGACTTGATGTTTTCCGGTTTAGTTCCGATGCAGAGCCGGGCCCGTCTTATCATGGCTAAGCCCAGCGGCGGACGAGCAGGAAGAGAGAGTAGTCAAAAGTCAGTGCCATCAACGTGGACTCAGACATGATGGGAACACCTGAAGCACTCATATTGTGAGATACATATTAGATATCAAGTATTACGACGAATTTTATCTATATAGAACAGTAACATGCTATATACTATACCATATAATGTTAGAAAACGATGTAGAGGGTTGCTCTAAACAACTGGCCTTCCTTTAGCCAGTCATACGCTATAACAGGCTCGTGCGGAAGAGACTCGAGACTGTAGACTTCAAAGCAATCCACCTCACGATTAAGGTTGATGGGGTTTGTTTTGTTTTTAGGGTTTACGCTCTCACAACTCGTTTTGATGTTTTCCCTCTCTCATGGCAAAGGATTGATTTTAGGGTTTAGGGTTTAAGGGTTCAGGGTATGATGCTTCGGGTTGGAATTGAACACGGATAGTTAAGCCTTTGAGAAGCCCGATTGGGTAGTTCTCTAAACTAGGGCCTCTTTCAGAAGCCCAGAAAAAGGCGGCACCCTTGAACATCTCGAACCACCCACCTACAAAGCCAAACCGCACATGTCGTGGACCCGCCGTGTACTTTGTGCGACCTCGTCACTAGTAGACATGATCCAGCCGGACTCGGCTATCCACGTCAGCGCTGCGAAGCACAGGGTGTTGGCGCAGAACATACAGAGCAGCGTGATCCTCAAGCCCAGGCCAGTGAGGCTACACGGCTGAAGCTATCAGGCCCAAGTATGTTCTCATCTGGACATACTCTTAAAACCGGCCCTTGTGGTAGTAGGCTCGAACAAGCTCTGAAAACAAGAACCTGCGTCTGTTACTGTGAAGGCCCCCCGCTCACCCCCACGCAGGGATAAGCTTGTAAAGGCAAAGTGCCCACAGCCAGCACATAAAACCTGAAGGGTTCTGAAGTTGTCCTTACAAACATCTACAAACCCAGTAAAGATGACATAAAACAACAATATATAATCATATATATATATATATACGTGTCTAATAACCGTGCTTATACACACACACACATATATATATATGTGTGTGTGTGTATGTACATATATATATATATATGTATAAGGGTGCTGCACCCGGGAGGGTACAGCGTCCACAGGGGATCCACCTCAGCAGGCCGGAGCTGTCCTAATGCTCAAACCCACGGATTTCCCTCACCTGCTAAGCTTGCGCAAATCCTCAGCAACCGGAGCAGAAGCAGCAACAGTAGTAGTAACTACAGTCGTAATAATGTCAGAAATCAGTACTGATAGTGATAAGGAGGCATCGAGACCAATGCAAGGCAGCATGCTGCAGCATGCTCTTGGTAGTCACATGCTAAAAGTTGCCTGTAAGAGCTGCTCCGGACAAGCAGAAAATGCAGTAGGCTGTTTATTCAACCCTGAACTATTTTTGGTGGCCTTGTTCAGCGCGAAACTGTTCTGCTATCCTGTCTATCTTCGTTCTTGCTGACAATGTTAAATCAGTGCCTCTGCGCGCGAGTCATGAAACCATTGTCACTGAACCCTTGGGCACTTACACTCATGTGGATCACCGGAGAGTTCCCGTCTGCCAAAGACACCAAGAGTCAGCATGAGACGCCAGGATTGTACCTCTGGATGCTTTTTGATCGCATTTTTCAGGGCTTGAACTAGCTTAACCCTCGAGTCCGGGACTCCACGCCCCAGGCCCTGACCCCTAAAATTGGGCTGGTCGTTGAACAGCAGTTGAAGCCTCATTTAGGTTTGAGAGATTTTTTGAGGACCATGTTCTGGTGTGCTGACAAGGGCAGCGGCGTAGCGGGCCGGGCTAGAGCTCTTTGTTCAGGACATGGGCTTTCAAAACCTTCTCGTGCTCCCGGACAAGTTTTGGCCAATCTCACAGTCACAAGCGTCCAGAAACACAGGCCCCGGTCGTACAGAAAAAACACACAAACAGTCCTAACTCCCACGATGTGGTCTCTCGAGAAATGTGCTGCCCAGCTGCCACTGAGGCCAACACGGCAAAACCTGGAGTTGAAGGTCAGCAGGGGAAACCCACTACAGATTGACGAACTTATAAGAGACGTTCCCATGACCACCACTTCAACGTACGGTTATTGCTACAACGAGAACCACAGCAAGATCAGCAGCGGCTGCAACAACAGCAGCAGCAGCAGCAGCCGCAACAAGAACAACAACACCAACACGAGTGGCAGCTGCTGCCTCTCATGTTGCGGCGGCACGGGCGACAAACTTTTTGTAGCACTAAGTGGTATAAATACTGACTGCTTTATCACAAGATCACTACTCACTCTTGGGGCAGTAGACTATGCGTGGGTATGATGCAAACACTGTGATTGGCTTGGAACTGAACTTGTAGTTTGCAAAGACTGTTTCTGGGTTTGGCTTAAGTTTGACGATCGTAAAACCTTCGAAGATATGCTGGCGGCAGGACACGGCACCGTGTGACCAAAGCATGTCATGCAACTTACTTGCATGTGATGGGAAATCGTGACCTATGCCATGACTGCACAGGATCCCAGAGCAGTCTCTTTGCTTGAGTGCCTAGCCTCATACGCTGCTTTGTTGAGTAATGTATTATCTTAGCGCCCGCCGATCGCATATTGCTATCCCTAAGGTTGAAACAACGCAGACATCACAGTCTGTCCTGTATTACATTTTTGCTGGACCCATGTTTGTTTTGACAAGACACACAGTGGGATGCACAGCGGATTACTCCGGGCCAAATCCCGCGCAGCCGACTTGGTGCCGTCGACCTCTGTGTCATCAGCATGGGACTTAGAAAGCACACCAAGCACTAAATCCTTCTCTGAAGGAGCTCTACCATAATTACGGACAAACGGTCAAATGTTGATAAGAAAGCTCAGCTGTACATTGAGGCCTGCCATTGCAGGAGGCGGGCTAGGTATTCCTGAATTTACCCACGGGGCCTGATACAAATTTGAAGGGGTCCATATGCTCTCTGGGTAGGACCGGGTAGGAGCGGCGGGCTGAAAGCGACCCGGACATCGCCAACTTACTGCGTGGCGATTGATGGGCTTTGGGTTTTTGGCTTCTTGCCCATGTATGTGCAGATACCCCATGTACGCTCGGGGTGTAGGGTCTAAGGTTTGCTGCGTATGTAGAACAGGCTAGCGGCTAGTCATCACACGAGGACCCGGAATGCCCGAATGCTGTCGCCGTGTCCCCACAGGCTTTTTGTTTTGAGCCCATAATCCAACAGTCCGAACATGTCTGCGCCTTACTGAGGTCGGCCCTTGACCAAGAAGCCCTGGCGGAATGCAAACGATTAGTGTCTCAACTTGAAGCTTTTGAATATTGAACATGCCGAAGAATGAGAAAGAGGTTCCGTGCGAAAGACGTCTTAGCTGCCCACCGGACACAAAAAATGCTGTTTCACACCTCCAAGACTCGAACAATCGGTCAGAGCTTATGGCGGGAACCCTGGTTCTTTTAGTATGGTATGTAGGGTTTAGGGTTTAGGGTTTTAGGGTTTAGGGTTCAGAGCAGGGATGATAAGCAGAGGTCCGGACGACGAAGGGTGCTATGCCAGCGACGCCAATGTAGCTGATCGAGGCGTGGCCTGGAAACAGGAGCACACAGCACAGGCTGTCGTGCAGACAACTCTAAACGATGCAACTTCAACATGAACGCACTGCTTACCCAGTTCCAAACCGATATCGGCTTGGTTTAGCGGTTTAGGGGGGGGGGGGGGTT